AATAAATAAAATCTAGAAAGCAAAGAAGTATCACTGCTGACAACATTAACAGACCAACTTGCGGTTGTTGCTTACAAAGATGCTCAAAGTCTCTATCTAAAAATCTATAGGCTATATAGCAAGCATGACTCCTACATTAGAATGTGATGGTTACTTGCTAACCCACGCCACTAATGATCTAAGTTAAGTCATGATTATCAGCTTAATTTTTGTTTTAGTTATTAGTTTGATTATGCTTTAAGCAACTGCGTAGCTTCTAATAGTCAATTAGGGTTTGGTGGACCTATAGATTAGGACAGTTGAATGCGGTTTAAAGTAGAAAGAGGGAGAGTGATAACATTATTTAATTTGTTAGGCTGATATTCAAATTTATGTTTTTTATTATTTTTTTATTTTTTATAAGGAGAGATGCCAAGGTATATATTTTTGGTAGTACTTATTTAATAGTTATTATTATTATTATTATTATTATTATTATTATTATGAGCATTTAGGATCAGTGTTATTTTTATTATTATTTTTTAATTTATAGTTTGACTTAAAATAAAACATATTTTATATTTTAAAGATAAGTTGTTTTTATTTGTATTGAAGATTGAATAATTTGATTTATGTAGAAGAGGTATTGGTTTGTGGTAGTAAAATAGAATGATGATTGTGGACGGCGGTGGCAATTAGTGGGGGCAGTCAACGACAGTTGATGGTGGCTGATGACTACAAATGATGATGGCGAGCGGTGGAGGTGGTAGAGGACAGGGATGGCCGATAGTTGGCACACAGTGGAGGCTAGTGGAGGAGGACATTGGTGGGCGGCGGTAGGTTGTGGTGGCTAGTGATGGGCGATGGCTAGTAATAGTGGTGGATGACACTATGACAGTGGTTTGTGGTATGCTAAAGGCATGTGGTTGTCGGCGGCTAACGAAGGTGGCAGCTGGCTTGCAGTGAAAAAGAAATTCGGCTAAAATTGGACGAGTTTGAAGCAAATCAATTAGGCATTGCATCCCTTTTTCATCATATCAAACACCTAAATTTTATTTTGAACGGAATTCATTTTACTTTGTCAGCAAATCAATTAGCACTTTAGTTAACCCAACTGTCAACATTATAATTTTTTTTAGGTTTTAAATAAGGTAATATGAAATTACTCTACTTAAGAGAAAAAACTTCTGCTTTTTTATCTTATAAAAATCATATTAAATATACGAGATTTAACCCTAAAAATATCAAGTATAAATAATTATAAAGCTGAAAATTCTGGTGACACTTTTCACCCTAAGGTACCAATTAGGGGTGTCAATTTCGGGTCAAGGGTTGGCGTTCGGGTCGAATCCGAAATTGACCCGGCACTATTTGGGTTCGGGTTGACCCGACTTGTTTTTATAAACGGTTTGATTTTCTGGATCTGAACCTGACCCACTTAAGGTTTGGGTCAACCCGACCCGACCCGCGACAGGCAATTGACGACTTGACGCGGAACTGGTGCCTGACGCTGGACACGGGGAGCGCGAGGCGAGGGCAAAGCGCAGTGGGGATGCTGGGCGCGCGCGAGGGCAAGGGCGAGGCCGCGCGGGGCAAGCACGAGGGCGCGGCTGAGCGGGGGGGCAAGCACGAGGGCGCGGCCGAGCGGGGCTAGAGCAAGGGCTCGACGCGGGACGCGGGGTGCGCGACGCAGAACCTTACGCGAAACTGACACGGGACAGCCGGGGAAGCTGGGGCGGGGTCCTTCGGGCAGACGGTTTATGTGTTTTTCCGGGTCAGTTCGAGTCATTCTCGAGTTTCCGGGTCAACCCGAACCCGACCCGATTTTTCAAACAAGTCAGTTTTCCGGACCTGAACCCGACCCGCTTCGGGTTCGGGTCAACCCAAACCGGAAATTTTTGGGTTGGGTCCAATATTGACAGGTCCAGTGCCAATGGCATCACAAATAAACTACTTCCGCAAAAAGAAAGAATAGGCCCAAAGACGGTTCACAATTGAGAGGCCCGGTTAAGGAAAATAAATCTTCTAAGGCTTCATCTGAGACTATTTTCTTAGTGTTTTTAAAATAATTTTAATATAATTTTTTTTAACTAAAAAATATTGTATTAGAAATATACTTTAGAAAGCATCAAAAAAACTGTCCCAAATGAAGTCTAAATTATATACTTTAACTTAAACTTAAATTTTTATCAATGAAACAAAGACAATGACATGAAATATAAAAGAAATTATAATTATGGCGCATAAATTAAGAGCACTCACAATTCTTTTACAAATCTTATGCACACTTACAAAATGAATTACATAATTTCTTCCTAGTGTTAAATAAAAATATGCACGCGCACACATTTAAAATAAGCTCTTATGAGACATAAGTGTAACATGAAAAACCCTAAAAAAGGAAAAAAAAAGTTTACAATACTTGTCTTATCTGAAATAATCCACTATATGGTTCGAGATAGTGGAATTCCAACCTTATCCAAAATTGAAGGAGACATGATTATAATGTCTATATTACTAACTTGGCCTCCTGCGAATATAATGCGAAATATTAGAGTAAGTGACGAGAGGTAATTGAACTTGGATCGAGACACTCTTGGTGTCTTTCTATTTTTCTCATCGAAACATTCATTTCAACTATAAATTTGTTATAAATGGAGTTCGAATTGTCCCAAAGACGATTCTAACAAATTTTTAATCACATTTTTGCAACAAGATCCTGCTTGATTGGATGGATTTTATGATAATATAATAAGGATATCATTGGCATATAACTCATTTATTAAGTAATATATATTTAATGAGAAAATTAAGATAATTTTATTTAGTGATACAAATAAAAAAACATAATAAGAACAATGTTGTATCAAAGGAAGCCTTGAGATTCCTTGTAAGCTTGAATTCATATTAAATTAAGGCTTCATTTGCCACATCTTTCTTACTAATTTTCAAAATAATATTTTAGTACAAAATTTTATTAAAAGCATAAAAAAATAGTGGTAAAAAATATCCTAAAGGCTTCTTTGGAACAGCTTTTTTGTTGCTTTCTAAAATAGCTTTTTAGTACAAAAATGTCTTAAATTAGAAAATTTTATACTAAATCATTTTAGAAAGTAGTACAAAAACTGTCCCAAATGAAGCATAAATCTGCTCATGCATTCAAATCAACGTTAGTATCATGTTGTATATCTTTACATTAGGTTGTGATCATATATTTATATTCATAATTATATTTTAATTTCATTAAATTTCAGTTATGAATTTATAATATCTTTTTGACATTATACCTTTATAGATATCTCAAAAGTCTTAATTATCAGAACAATATTGCACGAAAAACTCAATTAAGGCTCTTAGGATATCATAGGGTTCTACTTATCTTTCGTTATCCCAAAACTTAATGTGATTAAATTACTGATGAGTCCATATAAAAAAGTCTTTATTACACTTTTTATAAACAAAAAGTTTTTTTTTTTTTTTTTTTTTAAAAAAAAATTTCAAGCATATCACTAAAATTAATATATAAATATATTTAAAAGAACCATTTAATAATGTCTAAATATTATCTATGCAATTCATAATTAAAATATTTAGATGCAAAAACATCCCTCATAATTATGTTTCATTTATACATTATTCAAAGACATATTAATCATTTATCAGTCTCTTTAGTATGTTTATTATGTCACAAGTGGTGGAGTCAGAAAACTTTTTTTTTTCAGCGGGGGCCGATTTAGACACTAATTCACTATACAAATATTAAGCATGCGATATACTGAGCACGTGATATAGAATACTCGAATAGTATATGTACACTCTTATATGATTTTATTACATTGACATGATTTCGATGGTCTTTAGAAATGTTTTTATTTGATGCTTTTATTTGATTTATGTACTGATTAATATTACGAATACGACAATTGCTTTATAGATTTAACATTCGTGCTGATTTACTACTTTACTGACTTTCCGTACCGTAGTGTTTTAATATTTATAAATTTCACTATAACTGCATGTGAATTTTATTATTTTTTACTAATTCAATGATCATATGAATATAAAAAATATGATTTGATTGTTGGCATGCATATTGGTCTTTTACCGTACTCTGAATTCAATTATAAGTTTTGGTGAATTACTCGAATTTTTAGCTCATTATATGTTTTTAAATGATTTAAGGTCATGACAGAAATCAAGCGTGTGAGGCTGGTTATGTTCCTTGAGGTTCAGTTTTTTTTTTTTAACTACTTTTTTTACTTAAAATAAGATATATATGTGATGATTATATAGATCATGACTATTGCATATAATTTTTAAGTGTAAATTATATATAAATATATAACATAAATTAATAATAATATTAAATTAATAATAATTTATATTAAACTTATAAATTGATGTGTAAGTTAAAATTTATTAAATTTGAATTAAATTTAAAAATTAAATATATTTAAATTTAAAATTATATAAGTTATTGATAATATGTGAATTCAATTTATTTTTTTAATAAAAAAATTATATTATTATAAGATTTTTATATCATCTAAAATTTATTTATTATGTAAACTTCTATTTATATCGGTTCATTATCTGATCTGATTTTCATTACATCAAAATTTCTTATTTTTTATTTCTCAATCTCGGTCTAAAAATACACGACACCAAATCCCTAAAACCTAGGCGGCTTCAGCGAGAATCGGAAATATCATTTATGCCAAAACGGCAAAATTCCCAAAATTCTTCTTCTACAAGAAAATGAATTTTGATTCAGATTCTGGGGCTCTTCCGCACAATTCAGCCCCATTAACGAAACACGGCAAGTTATTGCTTCTCCCCGCAAATCTATGAAAAACCTACTTATGCTTCAATATCTGAAGATGTCATTCCGACAGGCGTCAAGGGTTTTCAGTTCATCCGTTATTCGGGACAGGTAACTTCTCTTTCGGGTTTATTTGCGCTTTTGTGATCTTTTCTTTTTTGCTTTGTGAACTTTGTTTTGGATGAGCTAACCGTTGGAGTGGTATTTGATGCTGTATGATAGTGTTACAATGTGCTTCAAAGTGGTTTCTTGAAGATGACTCTTTAGTGTGTTTTACTAAATGTGAATAGGGTCACTTCATGAGTGAGCTATTTGGAATGATGTACACTCAAAATCCGTTCAACCGAATAGCCCCATAGTGGCTTTGGATTGTCATAATGTAATTAGCTTGACCAATATCGAATTATCCTATTTAATCTTTGGAGCAAAATGTGGCAGCTATGACATCAATCTTTTCTTTAAGAAACGCGATGAATTGGAGGTCCATATAAGGCCAAGTCAGGTAAAAAAATCTAGCCGATTTAACTTCACTTGTGCAATGCATGCTTCCATGTATTTAAAGATTGTGAGTTCTAGGGTTGCAAATGAACCGAGTGTTTCGACGAGCTATTCGTGGTTCAGCTCGATAAGAGCTTGTTCATGTTCGTTTGATAACGTAAACGAACAAACTTGAACACTTTTGATAAATACTCAATAGCTAAATAAACAAGATTGAACAATTTGACGTTTGGTTTGTTTATGTTTATGAACAATATCGTTTAACGCTCGTGAACAAACTTGTTAAGAAGCTCGATTGGAGCTCGACTAAGAAGCTTAGAGTTTTAAAAAATATATATTGTTAAATTTGAATACCCATTAATTTAAATGAAACAAGCTTGAACACAAACAAAAAAGCTCGAACCGAACTTGAACTAGCTGATAATAAATGAACTCAAACATGAATATGCACATACTCGGCTCGGCTCGGTTCGCTTGCAACCCTAGTGAGATCCGCTCACTTTCCAAGTCATAGATCAAGTTATACATAAAAAAAGGCTGGTGATGCTAAGATTTGAAATTTTACAATCAGATACCGAGGCACATTTGTTGAGGCGTACAACTCATAATTAAACCATCGAATTAATTAAAAATATGAAATAATAAATAACATACGAACATCAAAATAAGATCATAAAGAGTTAAAATAAGGTCGTTAAAAGTTATATAAAACTATAAACAATATCAAATAAATAGTCTCACAATTCAACATAAGTAAGTAGTCTTAGTTCATAATTTATAAATTAAAAGTTATATAAAACTATAAACAATATCGAATAAATAGTCTCACAGTTCAACATAAGTAAGTAGTCTTAGTTCATAATTTATGAATTCAAAAGGCTCTCCTACTCTCATCATTTACAGTGTCTTCATTAGAATTATCATTTAGTTAATTACTTACCCCTCACTCATACTAAAAATAAGAAAATGAGATTCCAACAAGAAGCAAAGAGGTGCTCTAAAACAAATGGTAGTGGTGCAGTGATGTCTGTGACATAGTAGGATCAAGTGTGGGCTTGAGGGTCGTGCGGTTCTTCTCAAGTTTAGTGGGGTTTATGTATAGTAAATAAATTATATATATAGGAGAGAGAGAGAGAGAGAGAGAGACCTTGGGTGGTTTACCAAGAGCTATGGCTTTAGCTTCCGGTGCAGCAATTGCCAAAAAAGCAATTCTAGATAACAACAATGGGTTCTTTTTGAGTTGAATTACTTCAAACAAGTAGCTACTGATATTCCACAAGTGTTTTCTTCTTCTCCATGCAACCAACAAAAGACTTGTTGAATGAGGCTGGGTGTACCTCATAAATATATTCTTATATTATGTAGATATTATGGGATCTTTTGCTATGACATACACTCCCAGTATTCGCTCTTTTTGGAGAAATTTGATGTTTCAATGTATATTCTGATAGATATCAAGCTAATTAGACACATGCTGAACTATAATTGTTTATAATTATAAGTCTACATGTGAAAACCTAAAAAATAACTCATGAATCTGGGCCACGTTCTTCAGTGCTGAAGTCTCATCTTGGATATTAAACAAAAGAATTGTGTGATTACTGTTCTTTTGGATATTATTCTTCTTAAATTTTAGGTTGTATATATGTAGTCTATTTTTAGAGCTTCAACTTTCAGGAAACAAATGATAAGTGAGAGAGAGGATTTAGGAAGAGAGAGGAAAAATCTAAAAGGATAAACGATAGAAAATATTTGAGTGAGCTAGTATTATATCTTTAGATAAACCTAGTGGATGATTATCTCGCTGTGTGACCATTGACATAGGTGAATATCATTGAACAATATAAATCTTATCTTATTTTCTGGTGTTTTCCTTGCAAAATTGTTTTCCTTGAAGACTTTATTTCCCATATTTGTGTTCATTATTGTTCTTATGCATTTATTAGATTTAAACGTTAGGAAATATTAAAAAATTGACTTATATTAACAAAGTAGAGTTCGTGGATTTGACTTATATTAAGAAAAGTTGTGGTAGACCTAAAAGACTTGGTCAAAAAATATTAAAAATGATATTTCTTTATTAGATTTAAATGAGAATTTGACTTTTAACAAGATACAATGGATAGCCGACCCCAGGTAGTGGGATAAAGGCTTGATGTTGTTGCTGTTGTTGTATTGTTCTCATGCATTTGTGTTCCCAAACTTTTTTCTCCCTTGGTTCCTTATCACAACTTCTTTTACCCATCTACTTTCTTCTTTCTTAGTTGCATACACAATATTCACATCGTGTTAGCATGAAATATAGCTCTGCTAGTAGTCTGCAAATGCCTGGTATATGTTATTTTAAAACGTACTCAAGGAAGCTGCAAGTTTGTGTCCTAATGTAGGTTATTCAAATAGTACTCATGGCAACTGCAAAGTATGCACAGCTTACTCGACTTCCTAGAGCTTAATGCCAAGCTAGATATTTTCACTACCACGAACTAAAATTGTCTTTCCATGGATGAAAATTATGCAGAAGCAGATGGAAAGGGTTTTAAGCACAATTAAAATATTAATATGTTAGGAACCTGTTATTTTGTGGAGACTATACTTTTAATTGATTAGCTTTTTCAGCTTTTGGAGTTTAAACCTGGCAATTAATTTAGTCTTTGATTAAAAAATTTAGGATTGTCTAGTTTTGACTTATAAACTCGTTTGTTATGAGGAAATTGACTCAAAGTAGGGACGTCAGTGGCGGAGCCAGAAATGTTTTTTAGGAGGGGCTTAAATTAAAATAGTTTTGTTTGTCATCTCATTTGGAAGATTAAATAGTTCCGTTTGCCGTCTCATTACCAGAGCCAAGAGGAGTTGTAAGATCAAAATTAATAATGCAAATAACATGGCCCTTAGAGCTTAGAAAACATAAATATCTGCCACAGAAAGTCTTCGTTTGGGGACGAAAGAGGAGCGAAAGTGAAAACGAAAGCCGTGCTCGATGCCATGATTCATGAGTCGCGAGAGAGGAGTAAAGGGGGAAACAAATCATTGATACTTTTCATGCGTTCAGAAAAAAATGTTGGTGGCTTCTCTAAATTAATAAATAACTTTAAAAGGAAGAATTACAAAAATTAGAACAGCTTTCTCGTTGACGAACTTGTTGCTCTATTAAGCCATTAAAATAATTAGCTTTAAGCTCCTTTAGACTTGTAGTTTTAGCTTTAGCCAAATCCTTTAAAGGAAATCTCTCGTGCTAAGTCATGAGTGCGTGGCCGCATCATTTCCGTTGCGCCAAAAAAGCGAGGAAAAGCAAAAACGTACCCTTCATAGTAATTAATTAGATCATTAGCAGTGCAAAAATAATTAAATAAATGGTTGATAGTTTAATATTTAATAACAATAAAAGTTTTAATAAAATCATTTTTAAATTGTTAAATATTTTAAATAATAATTAATTAAATAGCCCTGCAACTCTGTGTCAAAATCTCTTTTCATTATTCCATCCACAATGGAAAGTCATTCCTCCGTCTCTCTTTCAATATTTTACACCATTAGTCTTTCTCTCTCTACAGCTGAAGCATTGTATGGTCCGGGTAGAAGGTGGATTGAAGACTTGAAATGAAAAAGCCTGGAATACATAAAATGAAAGCTAACCATGATGTTGACTGTTCTTGGCTGGCAAACTTCATTTGCTGCGTTTGCATTAAGATTTTATTTATTGTGGACGACCAAATTTTTATGTTCAATGAAGCAATGTATGCAAGGATACAATTAAAGTAATATATTTCTTATGAGGGTTTGTGCAATTGACTGATTGTACCTTGTTAGTCGAAGCCACAACTGAAAGTTTTAGTAATAAAATAATGCATTTTTGTCTCAACATTTGCTTATTGTTAAGGTTATTGGTATTGGACTTGGTTATGAAGTTTTGTCAACTCTCCAATTCGGCTATTCCTAATGGTTTTTATGATTACGATGGAAATTTAATGTTAGAAATTGGGGGTAAGCTGGTATATGATCATAAAGCTATGGTCTTTAATTTTGCTGAATGTGTGGAAAATTCGTGAGCTAAAATTTTATAAAGAATGAGAAATTCGTACTTCATATATATTACTGTTTTTCTAGAACAGGGTTTTGAATGAACTTTCAGATGAGTTTGATATATTTGTGTTAAGTTTATGGTTGGACAGAGAAGTTTTTGTTGAGTTAGTTCACGTATACTTTTCTTGTGTAGAGTATGTTAATACAATTTTCAGGTTAAATAGATATTTCATCATCTTCATTCAAAAGTAATGGGTAATTTTTCAAAAGTAATGGGTAATTTTCTTGTAGATGCTACAGGAAGGAATAGTTCTTGTATCCCAGGCTATTTACCTTTATAGACCATTCATAATGAGCATCTATGGTGAGATTTAATTGAGTTTCTTTTTCTGCAAATTGTTATTTGATGGTAGAAAAAAATGTGTTTTCCTTTGCAGGCCTATTCCTTGGAGGTTTCAGTATCGGAGTTATGCAAAAATGCCAGACTTTAAGGATGGCAGGCTCACAAGAAACATTTTGGAAGAAGAAGAGTCATTGAGTTCTCAGTCATGGCGAAGCTATATCATTGTATGTTGAGCAGTCTTCGACATCCTTTTATATCTGTTATTTATTTTTTATTTTCCTACTTACTGGTCGCTTTTAAATTATTTATAAATATACGAACGTGTAACTTTTTGTGTTTTTTGTAGCCTACTGCAGCTGTAATAGTGTTAATCGGAGCAGGTGCTTTCATTCACTACAATGATGAGAAGCGCGCAATTCCAAAAGGTATTCACTGCGTTGTTGATTTTTGTTATTTTTATTTAGTATACTATTGCTTTATGGATAATTGGGTGCTGAGCAATGGAAACTTTTATCTGGTAATGAATCCGGGTTTAGGTATGTAGAAGCAAGTAATTTTCATGCACCAACTGTGCTTTCCAGTTTCCTGCTACTAAAGATAGACATAATGTTGACAATTCATATAAAATACACCAATTTAGGATGTTCATCCTTTTAAAGTGAATGGAAATCTGTGAGAAGAGTTTGAAGGATAATATATTTTGGTAGGAGTCGTACTAGAAATGGTGTCAGGTGTAATTATAGTAAGAGTTTAAAGGATAAGGTTGGAAAAATTAAAAAAAATTATAGCTTTAAAGATTATTGTTGATGCTAAAATTATTAATATTATTAGTATATATGCTCATCAAGTAGGTTTGAATATATGTTCAAAATTAAAATTTTGAAATGACTTAGAAGAATTAATACAAAAGATCTCTCTTGAAAAAAGAGTTTTTAGTGGAGGAGATTTAAATGGACATGTTTGGTATAATGGTAGATGCTTTTAAAAGCATTCACGGTGGCTATGAGTTTAGAGTAACTAATGAATGTGGCAAGACCATATTAGATTTTGCCATAGCTTATGATTTTGTAATTGCTAATATCTTATTTAAGAAAAGAGATAACCATCTCATCACTTATAAGAATGAATATAGTAAAACTCAGATTAATTATTTTCTTATAAAAAAATAGATCTTTTAGATTGCAAAAATTGTAAAGTTCTTTCGAGTGAAAGTTTATGTACTCAACATCACTTATTAGTTTTGGACTTTAATATGAAAAAACAGAATGTAAAAGTAAAACATTATTTTAGGATTAGATCGGGGCATTTAAAGAATACTAACAAAAATATTTTTGAGAGTAAGATTCTATATTTTAAGATTTTTTCTGTCCATATAGAAGTTACTATTATGTGGGAAAAGTAGCTAGTGATATTAAAAAATGTGCAAAGGATATGCTTGAAGTATCGAATGGAAAGCTTTTAATAATAAAAATAGTTGGTGATAGAATCATAATGTATAAGAAAAGATAAAAAATAAGAATATTTATTATAAAAATTAGTTTATATGGAAAAACTTTGAAATTGAAAAAAATATAAAGTGGCTTCTAAGGAGTTTAAGAAAGCAATATGTGATGCAAAAATTTTAGATTTTAATGATTTATATAATAGATTAAATACTAAGAATGATGAAAGATATATGTATAAGTTAGCCAAATAAAGAGATAAGAATAATAATAATTTAGTTCAAGTGAAGTGTATTAAGGATGAAGATCAAAAAGTATTTTTATTAGAATAGGATATTCAATAATGGTGGATGAGATATTTTGCTAAGATTTTCAATGAAGATTATGAGAATACGATTGGTTTTTAGCGTCAATGTTTAAAATTGCGTATTCGGTATTGAGCGTTTTTCATTTCGTTGAGGTGAGGCGTAAGCAGTAATAGTCCTAGTGAGGGGATGGGACTCCTTGGCGAATCAACATTAATAAGAATACGTTTTAGATATCTTAGGATCTATTGTTCAGAGTGATGGTGGAAATAATGTGGATATTATAAGCGATTTCAAGTTGATGGTTTGAGTGGGAATGCATCGCTTGTTTGTGAGAGAAAGACCCCTCAAACTTTAAGGGAAAATTCTATAAGATGATAGTAGGCCTGCAATGCTTTATGGGCGAATGTTGGCCATTAAAAGAGAAGCATAATATAAGTTAAGTTGGCAAATGAGGGACTTAGATGGATGAGTCTTTACCCTTAGAGACTAGGATACAAGAGACATATACGTGAAAGGTTGAGATAGCTCCAGTAATCGAAGATAAGATTAAGGATCGCCTTAGATGTTTGGGTCACAATAAAAGCGTAGCTTCCGACTGACAGTTAGAGAGTAGGAATAGTATATTTGACTTGTGTTAGAAAGGAGGTTTAGACCTACAATAAGACTGGTTGACATTATGACCTTTCTATTAGATTTAAAACGAGGAATTGCTTTAAGACAAACAATTGGAGAAAAATTGGTTTCATGTAGCCTACCTACGTAGTGGGATAAGGCTTGATGTTGTTTTTGTTGTTGTGTGTAGGTGAGGCGGTAAAGGGCCTCAAGGCGTTTCGAGGCGTAAGCCTCAAAATCAAAAGATTTGCGATAAATAAAAATAATAAATTTTTTTATATACTAATAAGTGAATAATATATATAAAAATATATATATATATATATATGAAGTAAAATCAAAATATCCCAATAATAAGACAACATGAAATATAGTTCAACTCAAAATTCTATCTTTCCCAAATCCCAGTATTCTTTTCATTAACATATAATTCAAATTTTCAAAAAATAAATAGCAATGACATTCACATAAGAACTCATAAGTCATCAGCACTCATCATTAAGGGGTTCTTGATTTGAATCATCATTATGATGAACTGCTCTCTCTCCTTCCTCCTCTCCTATAGAGTCCAATGTCAGGCATTTACTTCAAGATTTATGTAAGTTTTAATATATATAGCGTGAGGCATAAGCCTCATGCCAGTGAGGTGAGGCGGACCTCAAGACGGGCCTCAACCAAGTTGAGGCGCAAGCCTCATAACAAAAACTCGAGGCGTAAGCATCAAGGCGTTTTTTACTGGAATTGCGCAAAGGCGGGCCTCAAGGCTAGCCTCATATCGCGCAATTTTAAACCATGGTTTTAGTGATCTTAGCACCCTAAATTAAAATAGTGATTTTTATTTTTATCTGCGTATTTATTAGTAAAATCGAAGTTACAGAGGTTTTAAAGAAAATGAAATGTGGAGAAACAGTTAGACATGATAATATTTTAATAGATGTGTGAAAATGCTTAAGAGATGAAAGAATTCTTGACTTACTAAACTTTTAAATATTATTTTGAAGACTAAAAAGATGCTATATGAGTTGAGAATGAGTGTATTGATTCATATTTTTAAGAATAAAGGTGATGCACAAGATTGTGTGAATTATAGAAGAATTAAGTTAATGTGTCATACTTTAAAATTATGGGAGATTTATGGCACATAGCTTAGGACATGATACTAATGTTTCTCAAAATAAATTTGGATTCATGTTGGGTTGGTTTACTATGGAACCTATATATTTATTGAGAGGTTTGATGGAGTAGTATATAAAGAATAAGAAGGATATACATATGATTTTTGTTGTTTTAGAGAAAGCATCTGATATAATTTCAAGAGAAGTGCTATGGAGAGTGTTAGAAAAGAAGGGGGTTAATAATGCTTATATTGAAGTCCGTAAGGATATATATATATGTAGGAGCCGTTACTTGTGTTCAAACATAAGGTGGTTTGACCATTCCTATTTCAGAGTTGGATTTCATCAAGGATTAGCCTTAAGCCCATATCTTTTTGCTTTAGTCATAGATGTTTTTACTAGACATTTGCAAGAGGTTGTACCCTGGTGTATGCTTTTTGCTGATGATATTCTTCTTGTTGATAAGACTACAGAGTGAGTTAATGGTAAACTTGAATTATGGAGGTCAACTTTAGAATCTAAAGATTTTTTGTTTGCATATATCTAAAACTGATAATATGGAGTATAATTTTAGTATTAATAGATCTTGTGGGGGGATTGTGACTTTGTGTAATCAAGTTATTAATAAGAATACATGTTTTAGATATCTTAGATCTATTGTTCAGAGTGATGGTGAAATAAATGTGGATATTATTAGTGGACTTCAAGTTGGATGGTTGAAGTGAAGGAATGCATTTGGCTTGTTGTGTGATAGAAAAGCCCCTCTCAAAATTAAGGTAACATTCTATAAGATGGTGATGAGACCTGCAATGCTTTATGGCGCAGAATGTTGGCCATTAAAAGAGAAGCATAATATTAAGTTAATTGTTGCAAAAATGAGGATGATCAAGTGGATGAGTTACTTTACTCTTAGAGACAGAATACAAAACGAGCGTATACGTGAAAAGGTTGGATTAGCTCCAATGGAAGATAAGATTAGAGAAAGTGGCCTTAGATGGTTTGGTCACATAAAACAGTAGCCTTCCGATGACACGTTAGTAGAGTAGATGTATTATATTTGACTTATGTCAAAAAGGAAGAGATAGACCTAAAAAGACTTGGACATTTCTTTATTAGATTTAAATGAGAATCTGACTCTTAACAGAACACATTAGAAAAAATTGTTTCATGTAGCCTACCTTACGTAGTGGGATAAAGGTTCGATGTTGTTATTGTTGGAAATTTGGGAGAATTATGAAATAATTTGTTAAAAATTATGCCTTCATTTAATAACAACAATAAATAATTAAAAACTTTTAAGAAATAAATATAGTTAAATATAGAAATTATAAGAATCATTAAATTATGAAATATTTAGTTAAATAATAAATCTTTATTCAATAATAGCAATTAATATTAAAAAAATTAGAAGATTTGTATAATTAGAACATAAAGTACAAGGGTAAACTTAAGTCTTTTAGAAGTTCTTTTTTTATTTTATAAGTATTTATTGTTTAGTAACATGTTATGAGTATATAGCGATGCTATTAGCAGAATTAATGTTAGTAACATATGATTTCATGTCCAGTGTATGATAATTGAATAGTTTCATTTCTCTGATATAGTTCCAGGCATAGATTTGTCGCATAATCTGAGCTGCATTGTATTAATGTCCATTTAATTATTGTTGTAGTAGGTGGAGCATATTGGGTATTCAATATGATTGACATATGGAATATTAGCAACACATAAAATGCCGTTAATACGAGGTTGATAGAAAATTTTTATTGTTTTCTAAATGAGTAGCAGTATTGAGTACTATTTTTAAGTGATTTAGCAACACATGCAGATAAACATCGACACTAACTCGACATACACCATTAGAAATTGGCTACATGCATGATGCATAACCTCACATACCTTATCATCAATGATGTGTGACACAACAAAAGCATCGCCAATGGGGAGTCAACCCACCAAATTTATACTGAATCTGGACACCTCAAGTTTAGAGTTCTTAGGACCCCTACTTTGAGTTCTAGCATTGTGTTTCTCGGGACCTAAAGTGATCTATTTTTCCCACCGACATATGTAGGGCAAAACAGTTAGTCGATCATCAACTGAACTCCATATAATATCAAAACCGAGGTAAGACGACCAACCATCTGTTCCGATATATGGTTACCCTATCAAGTTTGCAATAAATCTATTTCAAGCCAAATCAGAAGACAAAAAAATCCAACTGGACAAATTCAACTTAACATATTCTAACTCTAAGATTTTTTGTTGTTGTTGTTGTTATCCATTATTAAATTCTAACTTTAAGATCATCCATTGAGTATGCTAAAAAATTTTTGATTCTCTCAATCCTACCAACTTGTCTCACTAAGTCACTAAGCTTTAGTTATATGCATCCATCAACATTTCAAAGCTATGAGCATTATTGGCACGAACTAATCATGATTTCATGTTAAATCGTGAACATCTTTACACACATCATCTTGGCATAACATGACTTTTATAAACCTGCTATCCTTTTCTCTAACAATTAATACAACTAACAATACTCGTAACTTATTCTTCACCCATTATGAGCACTACAAAAAGTTTTAGCAGATCTAAAAAGGTGCATCTTTGCCAACCATTTCAATCTAAAAAACCAAATACATTCCCGTTCATTAACTAAAAAAAAAAACCACACATCTCATTTCAGTTATTTACCAAATAAATTTTAAAAAAGTACCTTTTGCTTATATTCTCACAGATCCACAGACATCTCCACTCCAAAACTCTTTGGGGCTCGCTTTCTCCTTCGAACACTGACATAGCCACCTGAAATTGCCTCTGAAGCCCACAAACCTCAAAACAAAATGAGAAATGGTGAGATTTGAATGCAAATTTCAGGTGGAAATTGGGAGAAGACCAAGTCGCCCAGTTAACGGGCGACTCGTGCTGCCACGTCAATGTCCTTATCACCAGCAAGTCGTCTGTTGATTAGATGATTATATATAGCTTTAAAATTTTTAATTATTAAATTAATAGTACATCATGTCTGCTTTAAAAATGTGTCTCACCTATTATAGCCTTTCATGGATCCTATAGCAAGTATCTCCTTTTACTAGGTTATGCTTTCATTGTGTTGATTTTGGGGTAGTTGTTGGATGAAAACTTTTGGCCAAGTGTACATGGACTTATTGATGTAGAATGAGAATGGAAAAAAATGGGACATTTGAGATTTGAATTTCTTGCTTTAATTGATATCAAAATATTATGAATAATTAAATCAAATCAAATCAAATTAGAAATCTAATTAGATTTAATTTAAGTAACTTTCCTAAAATAGGCTATCTTAAATTAGGCAAGTATTTCAGATTCAAAATTACTTAGAATTTGAAATCAAATATTTTTGTAACTTAAATTGTTTGATAAAAGGAAAGTAATCAAAGGGGAATTCAAATTTTGGAGGCAAAGATGAAGAAGGGGGAAGGGGCTGGCGACATTAAAAGGGGAGGAGAGGTTATGGAAAGAGAATTAAAAAGGACTTTGATTGGAATCTTAAATTAGGGAGTAATATTTAAATCAAATTCAATTAAATAATTAACTTTACGTAATTCAAATACTTTCCTAAATTAAGAATCCTAATTTTAGAAACAAAATTCAAATTCAAATTAATTTGAATTTTAAATTTCAAATTGTTACTAAGATAGAAGGGCTAAAATATGAAAGGGCTTTGAATGTGAAGGGAGATTTGTGGAGTCAAGGGGAAAGAAGGTGTCCGGCAGTTTGGTGAGAGCGGAGGCTAAGGAAGTTACAAGCCAGTGAAGAACTTTTGACTTAATAAAATTTTGGAAAGGAGAAATCATATCTTTGTACCAATGAAAGCTAAGGCCGTGGGGAGGTGGAGCTAAGGCCGTGGGGAGGGAGAAGGGGAGGCCGGTTTTGTAGAAGTTGAAGGGTTTATGGGAGAATCGGCCAGTGGAAAGTGGGGGATTTTGGCCGGCGGTCAAGGGAAGAGGTGAAAAAATTTTAGGAAAAGAAGGATACAACCGCGAGCCCGGACACATCCTGCAGCTGACGGGTACTAAGTTGCCCTTCACCAAGGGACTTCAGGCCACGAGCCCAGACACATTTTGCGGCTGGTGGAAGCTATGAATTCCTCCCATAGAAATCTCACCCAAGGTTCTTCCCAAAGAACACAAGTGCAAACATAAATTTTATTCTAAATCCATCATCACATTACACAAGCCAGTGAAGAACTTTTGACTTAATAAAATTTTGGAAAGGAGAAATCATATCTTTGTACCAATGAAAGGTTTAAACTGTCTCTACTTGGTGAATTCTTGCCTTACTCTTTTCATGTTCATTATTAGTGATTGGTTTTATGAGTCTACTTAATCTTAGTCAAATTTGAAAGCAACTGTGTTATTCTATTCATCTGAGTTTACTACGCAGGTTAATGGGATAAATCTGAAATAAGTTTGTAAAAGGGCTATATGGCTGGCCCTCACCCCGGCCAATCGTTTTAAGTCCTTGTCCATTTAGCAAACCCAACAGGAATTTTAAAGGGTCAAATTCATCTGCTCGTGGGTACAGTAGCTTTTTCAAGGACCCCAGTTTTGACTGAGAGGTCTTGTCATGTTAGTTCCATAATTTACCTATGAACTGCATAATCGGCAATCTTTGAAAGTTCAATAAGGTTGATATTTACTTTTCTTTTCTATCTATGCTACATCTTACAGGCTCAGAACGAAGCACTGGCATTGGAAAAGCTGATACCAATAAGCCGGCAATAGGGGGGCCATTTAAGCTTTATGACACTGAAAATCATTTGGTAACGGAGTCCAATCTTCGTGGAAATTGGATACTATTGTACTTTGGGTACACTTCTTCCCCTGATATTGGGCCTGCAGAGGTTGATAAGATGGCCAAAGCCATTGATATATTAGGTGTAGTTTCTTCTGGCATATCTTATTATGTTAACTATTTGCATTTGCAGAGGTTGTTTTTTAATCAATTATTTCTTGTTGACATTTGGTAATCAGATTGAACTTAATAGAGCCTTTTAGCCTGCATCTCTTGGCTGAGAGATCAATCATAAAAATATTCTTTGTTTTTTGTTTCTCAGCAAAATTCTTTACAGGATGAATCATCATTGTCGTCATCCTTACCCCTACTATATTCAGTAGACCATCCGTTTTAATCTACTTCTGCGGCCTCATGCATCTTCGAACAAATTAATCCATAAACATTTTCTTACTTTTACTGTAGAAACATAGGCAGTCTGAGATTGGAACAAGAAAAGTACTGTTTACCGTGTTAATGTTAGAATTTATTATTTTTGGGGCAGAGCTGGGTGATGGCTGACTGAAATAAATGAGCACTACTCAGATTTCGGATCAAAGAAGGGTTAGCAGGTTGACCCGGATCTGACCCAATTTTTCAAACGGGTTAAAAACTGCAATCTAAATCCGACCCATTTATTAAACAGGTCAATCCGAACCCGAATTTTTTGGGTCGGATATTATCGTGTCGTGTATTGACACCCTAGTTCTGTTGTTTTCACTGATTTTATTTGCTTGCTTACCTTGTCTTCAGGAAATTATCTGTGCTGGAGATGCTTATAGTTGTTTTTTCTTAATCAGAGTTTCAACATAATATAAAGGTTAAACCTGTTTATATCACCATTGATCCTCAGCGAGATTCTCCCGATCAACTCCAGGCTTACCTCAGTGGTAAAGAATGATTAAACCTTTTGTTCATTAAAATACTCTTTCTTTCTGAGGAATCTAAATTTTTGCCTAATTGTGCCTTGGCAGAATTCGATTCAAGAATAATAGGACTAACCGGACCAATTTCATCTGTGAGGCAGATTGCACACGAGTACCGGGTTTTCTTTAAGAAAGTCGATGAGGAAGGCCAAGATTACCTTGTTGAATGTTCACATAACATGTAGCCTTTACTTTCATGATTATGTAGTCAAAAATTGAGATTTAGGTTTCGTTTTGAATGGCTTTCTTACTGTTTCTTAAAACAAATTTCTAGTACAACAATTAAAATTTTTCTATTAAAAAGCTGCTTTAAGAAGCAGTAAGAAAGCCATTCCAAACAAAGCTTAATTCATCAAATGATCATGATTTGCTCTATATTTCTATGGCAGGTATCTTCTGGATCCTAACATGGATACAGTGAGGTCGTTTGGCGCAGAATATGATGCATCACAGTTAGCTGATGGCATATTATATGAGGTGAAGAAAGCAACTCGGTGATGAACTCATCTGGTTCTTCACTTCTTTTTCTCAGTAAGCTGATTTTCTTAGCTTCTTCTTTATGAATGATTTATTACTCCTGATTAGAAAGTAAAATGATTTTGATATATGGGCATATAACAGGTGATTTCAAGAAAAATAATGATTGCATTTTATGTTGAAACCTCCAAATTACAGCACATTGATGAGAAGGTATCACCTTCTACTGTTAATGCAGCTGCAAGCAAATTCATTAGGAGATTCCCTTCCCAATTCACGTATCTATGATCAGTCATTTTATTCTGAATACAATTTAACAAGATGACCTTGTAATTTCTATGAGCTCTCTTTTTCTCCTCTTTTCCAAACTTTTAGGGTTTAGTCCAACGAAAGTTTTGTCAAAAGTCATTGTATTGCTACAGGCATTTCAATTCCATTTGATGTTTAGTTTTACAAAAACAAAGAAAAGAAAATAAGACTTAGCTCTTGTAGTCCTTAAATGCAAAATTTTTCTTCAAGAAGTTGTGATAGAAATGACTAAATTTTGGGATTCTCTTGTTAAAATTAGCATTGATGAAGTTTATTAAGCTTTAGAATCCACTTGTAATGCCTATTACAAGTCTTGATGTGTTTCTGACGTTCGCTGGACCAAAGCCTGTGTTGCTAGGAATACTTAATTGGTTGTAAAGGTTCCTACATTTCGTATTTGAATCTGCGTGTTATGCTATTGACTATTTTTGAGGAAAAATTATTTTGTGTGGATATCGGACGGCATTCGGAGACCAAACAGAACGTGTCATGTCACTTTTTATTTGCTCGATATAGGTGCTTGGTATCGCTATGTACTGGGTGACGTTGTGCATTCTGATTGGTCTCCGAACCTTCTGATGTTCGCACATAAAATTTTCTCTTTTTTCAGAGAGGCTAAATGGAATTTCATCATTTGATTGGGAACTTTTGAGTCTTTGGTGTATAATACTTTTTTTTTTTTCATTTCTAAACTATTTAACTTTTATGACATTTCGTGTTCGAGTTGCTTTAATCTTAGATGTATAAACGGGTGCCTTTATAATCACTTTCTATTGATTCGACATTATTTTGTTAATTTATTGTTTATGTATCTTTTTGTTTTGTGTTGGAATATATGCAAGGGTTGGAAGTTCGAAGAGTTTTATGGAGTTAGAGAGATTTTAAGTGATTATTGGTTATATGTTGTTTGTTCATCACTCGTTAGAGGAGGGGAGATCAGATACCAAGAAATTTAACATAAATCTTAATGTCGGCATCGGGAGTTAGAGTTGGTATTGATAGCATGTGTTGATCTTATGGGCAATAGTGTGCATTGATGTTGTTGGCGATTGCATGTGACGAAGTTCGTGGGCTTCGGCTTAGCATATGACAATGATCAAAGAATTGTAGTCTGACAATGGTGGTCGAAAGACCGTAGTTAGGTAACGGTGATTGAAGGATCATAGTCGGGTGTGCAACGAAGGTTGGAGGATTGTAATCCGATGATGGTTGTTGAAGGATCATAATTGGGTGATAATGACCAGATGATCATGGTTGAGCAACGGCGGTTGGAGGTCCTTAGTAGAGCGATGGTGTTTAGAGAATCGTGTTAGGGGATACTTGTTTGAGGATAGTGGTTGGATGGTGGTGGTATGTGGATAATGGCTAGATAATGGTGGTCGTATGATCTTGGTGGGACAACAGTGGTCGTAGTATTGTAGTAAGGGAATAGTGGTTGAATGACTGTAGTTGGGCGATGATGACTGTAGTTGGAGGATTTTTGTCAGACAATGATGATCAAAGGTTTGTAGTTAGATGGCCATGGTTGGTTGCTCTTTCAATTAATGTTATGAAGTTTTCAATTTATACTTCCGGTGTTTGATTTGAGCTTATTCAGACTTAAATCAGACAACTTTAATATCGATGAGTTCGTCTCATCTAAATGTTTAGTTCAATTATAAGTTTATTGAAACGAGAGTTTAGACAATCCTATATAAAATTTTGATTGTTTCCCATTTAAATATATATCAATATTCATACTCCATCGATTCAATTTTTAATGATGCATTACTTATGTCACAATCCGGCCCGGTGAGCTCGCGTAGGCGAGGCGGGAACAGAGATCGGAGTCGGACGGTAGGTTAAATTATCTAATGTCTAAATCTATTTCCATAATAATTGAAAGAGCCTCTAAAACATCAAATTGAAAACACATAAACATAAGAATCAGGCATAACCATAAAATTACCTTTCATCAGACGCTCCTCTTCTACGGCATACATTGCCACCCCATCTACTCATATTGATTTGCCTACACTTACCTGAAAATGTTAACAACTAACATTAAGCTAAAGCTCAGTAAGTAATACACAATTCTAAACTACAGCAATTAAGATAAACTGAACAATATGCTAAATGTCAATTTCATATGGACATAACATAAAAATGATTTCATACTAACATAACATTAAACATATCATATCATAAACCATGTCTTTCATTTTCCTTTTCATATTCATATCATTATACATAGCTTTCTCGTTTCGTATATATTACAACCGTCACAGGAGCCACCGTCTAGTACCATAAAGGTACTCCTTTACCATTTCCGTTTCCATATCCTTTACCATTTTAACGTAAACGAGTACAGCGTCCCCAGCTAGTACCATCTGGGGGTGAGCTCCATCATTTCAGCATGCACATACAAGCATATAAATAATATTCATATCATATCATATCTTTTCATTCTATATAACATATAAATTCTATAATATTATGTCATAAAATGTACATGAAAATTTCATGATCAATTATTTGATGAGAGTTAAGAGCATGATTAGTTTATCAAATCATATAAGTGAGAAACAAGATGAATTACTGCAATTAAAGAACTATGCATACTTACAGAAGTTTTGGAATCTGATTTCTCTTGCTAGTCCTTCCTTCGATGTCACCACGATTAATCACCTATAAGTATCAATTTTTCATTCTTAAAATCTACAAAATAATTTAAAACAAAATCTTTTCTTTCTAAACTATTCTAGATTCCCTCTATTTCCCTCACTCTCTTTCTCTCTCTCTCTCCCAATTAAAGCTTAACACATACTTATATTCTAAAAATTCAATATTTTGCATACTTATATATATTAACGAAAATAACACCTCACCCAAAATCTAAATTAATTTAAAATAAATTCTATTTTCGGATTTAAAATAAATTAAAATTACAAAAAATTGCATTTTGTGGAAAAAACCCTAATCTATAGCATTAGAAACCTCCATATGATTATTTGAAACAATACTCTTCAAGAAATTATCTAAAATTTCAAAAATTAAGAAAAAGCACTAATTTTTTTCTAACTCAACATTTTGAAGAAAAACATCATTCCTATGCATAAAATCATCTCTTAACTTATCCTAACATTCTCTTAAAGAAAAACAATGTTTCCCCTCAAACCCTAGATTTTTCATTTCAAAAATCTATGCCAAACATAAGGATTTATAGGTTTTGAAATGCACCTTTGTGTTCCTTAGGGTTTCTCCTACAAATTCCTTCTAAGAATCCCGCCGGAGAAGTCGCCGGAGCCGCCGCCCGTCGCCTTGCATGCGTCCGCCTTCTCCCTTCCGCACGCCTCTTTCGTTCGGTTCGGCCGAAATGGATGAATGAGGGACCGAATACATTCGGTCCCTTTAATTCTCTTTAGATGGCCAAAAGTCAAAATGCCCTCACTTAAACTCTTCAAGCCTTAATAACCTCTAAGGGTACGATTGGTATTATTAGTTTTCGAAAATTTTATCTCTCAAATTAAGAGGAATTAAATATAAGTTTTATATATCAAATCGCTCCAAATTTTGCTTAGAATTTTATAAAATTATTCCCGTCGAAATCCGGCAACCTTGAATTTTTCACTTAAAACTCATCGTGGCGCTTTGAAAAACGTGCGAGATCTAAAACAGCATTTTTAGAGTTTTCACAACTTATATTACTTATTAAATATTATCACATTTGCGTGTTCATATCTGCTATTGACGGTTGTTATTCTTCTTTACTTTTTTTTTATTCTATAAACTCGCATATTTGTCTATTACACGCGTTCCTCGTTGCCGTAGTCAGTTTGATCCAACTAATTCATTGTTAATAATACTGCATGCTTTCATTGCTTTGCATGTGTGGCATAGACATTTATTATTATTATTATCATTATTGGTTTCATTATCAAGCTTGAAGCTAAGTTTAACATCAAATATTTTAAAATCTAGCAAGAGATTTGGTTTTGACTTGAGATAGTTTTGTTTCACCTACCTGAGCATGAGTTATTTGCACCAGTAAGGCCAAGTCAAGTTTGATGAAACTTTGCAGTAACTTTCTTCCTTATAGAATTGGAAATTCCTTTTACTAGGCAACAAAATGTCAATTTTCTTTAGAACAGAGTATTTGCTCAATTGAATAATTTCTTGGAATGAGTAGACAAGAAGCACATTTGATACTTGATATATAATCAAAAAAATCTTGATTGGGCATGAATCTCGAGGAAAAATAAAGTTGGAAACTTTCGAAATTAGACCTGGGATCATTCGAACTCCGATTTCAACTTATAGTCAAATTGAATGACTTGAAAGTGCGAACACAACGACACTAAATTTGACTCAATCCGAGCTCAAATGGGTCTAAATAGAAGATCTGAAGCTCATTTGGAATGTTCAAATCATAATTTGGACATTAAGACATTCAAATGCCCAACAAACAATCCACGATCAAAGGGATCAATATTAGTGTCCATTCAAATCACTCTTAACTTATGCTTAATCTCCCTCTTATTTACTAGTTATGTCACTCTAAAAAAAATAAATAGACCCTTTATTTCTCATGAAAAGTGGACTCAAGCAAGGAAGAGAAGGAAGAGAGAGAAATTAGAGTTCTCTTGTCACCAGACTCCTCGACCACCATCGGACCACTGATTGATGCTGGACATCAGCCCTGCCGACGTCGGACTTCTACCTAGCCACCAACTCACCTTTGACTTCCGTCCGGTCCTCGACTATAGTCGGACTTACTCCCGACCACCAATTGTTGTCAGACTTCCCCCTGACAACTATCGCTCGTCGACTACGGTCATTACTACCACCTTCGCCTGATTACAGTCTTTCCAACCTGTCTCCTGGCTATGATCTTTCTCACTATCATTGCCCATCGACTATAGTCCTTCTGACCTCCGTCGACATATCGACTTCGGTCCTTCGAATCTCTGTCGTTACACACCGATCTTTCTGACCACTGTCGGCCGCTGATTACGATCCTTCAGACCTCCATTTCCAATTAACATTAGTGGTTGATTTTGATAATGTTGAAGGAGATTATGAAACATTCAAGTGGCAATGAGAATGATGATACCATCGACATTATATACTTGCGCAATCGAGGTAAGTTTGCGGGTCATAACAGTACACACGTGTAAGATATACAAGAAAGTCATTTCTTGTATAACCGAAAGCCACGTCATATAGCCGTTAGTTGCTATTCTGCTTCTTTATG